TGTATTATGTACAATTAATGTATACAATAATAAAAATTGCAATGAACATTATATTATTAAAAGTAAACAAATCACTCTGTTACCTCCAAACTTTACTTACATTTACCAGAAGGTGTATTTTACCCAAGTTAATATTTTAGATTCTGAAGGTAACAAATAAGGACCTTTAATGAATGTAACTGCAATACATTGTTATCATTAACATTTGTCAACTACATTCAGTTGCAAACAATTTTAATTATTGTTAAAAAATTACTGAATAGTACAACTCATAGACAGAGAAAATTAAACTATTAAAATGAACTCACAAGTTTAAGTGCCAGGCATTGGCATGCACAGAAGCATGGCCAGGGGCCTGTAATGCCCCTGAAAATTTTGAAAGGATCCTTTTGTACTGAAATATTATATTTCTATATTGTTAAATTTGTGATAAAGAATTTCATACTTAATGTAAAGATACTCTTTAAATTTTAAGGAATCTGACTATTTTTATAATTAACACTTCGGATATGCAAAGGAGGTAGCAAAATTTTTGCGAGTCAATTAGTGCACATTTAATTATATTTTTTCTTCGTGGCTTTAAGTGCCTTTTTGAATGATCTGTGGCTTCCCAGACTTTCTCAGGCTGTCCCATTCACATAAGAAAATGGAAGTTTGGAGTAACCTGCTTGTTGTCCTAATAAAATACCGCACAAATTCAGATCACAGCGTACGTAGGTACAACCGATGTTCATTATATTTAATTTTTTCTATAATATACAAATTTTGATAAGTTTCTTGAGGGATATAGAAGGAGCTGTTGGAATTGAAGTAAGTTCATTCCTGTTTTGTAGAAGGATACCTTTTAGACTTTTTATATTAGAGTCAATAAAATAAAGTCAATATTATGGTTTACGTTTTTCCTAGTGAACCAACCAAACTGTGACTTTTCGAAGAGAACAGAAGTTTGTCTTCCTTTGCAAAATATTGTTTGAGTTCTTCCTGATGTCTGTACCAGTAAAATATTGTTCCTCTATCTAAAAGATTATTTACTTTCAATCTGGACGATACAAGTTCACTCTTCTGATTCAGAAGACCCATGTCACTTATCAAATTGTTTAATCGGGATAGTGTCAATGGATGTGAAGTGTGATCTCCCAACACTGAGAAGTTGCTAATCATGTTCTTCTGCACACGAAGAATAAGAACTGGTAGTACTCTCTTGTAATGCTGTACATGGTATAGGAATTAAATCATCTGGTTTATGTGGAATGGATATTATTGCTGATGGCAAATGAAGATAAAATATGGGTATCTTCTTATTATAATCAGATACTTTACTCAGACATAAAGAACAATCGTCAAGATGAATTCATTGTTCGTGCCAAACCATAGGGATACTTAGCGGCGTAAATGAAGTCCATTGAACCATTTTCTTAAATATCCTACACAAGTTTTACTAACGATATATGAGGTGAACCTTTTGTCCTGATGTCCAATTTAACTTTAAAATAGGCAGGCACAAACTTTTGATCAAGGGAACATATTTTTTTCTGATTCTTGATCACGAAACATCCACGTACGTAACAAAAACTATTTGATTTGTTCGCACAGCCTTTTCTTCATGTATCACTTAAACTTGCCTTTTTCCCCACCATTGACACGAGCGTCTGTAGCGCGTACTGAGGGGGCTAAGGCAGCGCGCGCCTCATTGCTCTCTGCCTCATTGTGTGAGAAGTTTATTTATAACCACGGAGAGCAAAGATTAGAATCCGTTGATGTTGGAGACGTCAATAACATGGTTTTTACGGTCAAAAACTGTGTGTGACATGCTATAGGGAGACGTGTATTCTGTGCATGTTTTCTGAAATTCTGGGATCCATACCCTGAAACAAGAAGATAATTTTGTTACGCGCTACATTATAATTCCCGCTGATATGATGCAAACTGGTGTCTGAAACTCATTGACTGAAGTCTGATACGATGTGCAACAGCTCACCCATGTCTTGAGTACCCCTCAACAACTGCGTATTATTGTTTCGATTTTTTATATCTCATTTACGCAATGGATACATCCAGTTGCTAAATTAAGGGGGGGGGGGAAATCCTCTAATTCGTGGTGTAACCAGAATTCCTGTTTTGTGGGTCCTTGATACCGAAGAATCGACGGCAAAATGTCCGTGTGTTTGTGAACACCATCAGTGCCTACGATTTTTTCCAAATTAAAGAAACCCCTGTCGGTCTGGCTCGAGTCGAAGCTTTGAGATTTTGAAAAACATTCTTTAAAATTTGGGAGTTCTTTACATTTAGGGACATTTTCAAACTTTTCTCAAAAACGGCTCCAAATTTGTTCTTTAAGTTTCTTGTAAAGGTGGCATAGGTCCAATTGTCAAGTTTAACCTCGAATATTTCGGTGTCTTCCTACAACTACAAAATTGAAGGTAAAGATTTTTCCTTCAAATGAAATTTGTTCTCTACATTTCGTTTTTTCAATAAGATGATTTAATTTTTCCGAAACTTTGAGTAGTTTTCGCGCAATATTACGTGTAATACGTGTAATTTAAAAAAAATACATAAACAAGTTTTTTCTAAAACGGTTCCAATGTTGTTGTTTTTTAACTTTTGATAGGGATAGTGTTAAATGTACTCTATGAGGTGACATAAACGCCATATTGCTCTTTTCTTTTGTTTTTTAAAAAAATACAAAAATTTAATATTTTTGACTCGTCTCTCACGTCGTTAATATTTACATTAGCGGCGATTTGTTCACATTATTGCATTTTCGAGTACATGTGCTTTAAATGATGCGGTATCAAGTTTCTCCAAACGCAATTTTTTTTTTTGTCGAGCTCAAAATATAGCATTTTCAGAAAAGCTCAAAGCCATTTTCACAAAACTGCTCCAAATTATTTATTTAAACATTTCTTACTGTTAGTGCGAACTACACTGTTTAATATGCCGTAAAGTTCATTTTGGGGTATTATTTTGTTTTTTCAAAAATTACACAAATGCAATTTTTAAATAACTGTTATGCCGTTAATATGCACATTTTTAGCGATTTGTAAAAGCTATGGATACTGGGAGTGAAAGTGCTTCAAATATGTTCGAATAAAGTTTTTCAAAAACCCATTTTCTTGGAAAAGAGCGTCAAATTTCGAATTTATAGTGACGCTTAAACGTCATTTTCTTAAAAACGCCTATAATTGTTTCAATGAAAATTGCCATTTAGGACGAAGTTTTACTCTTCGGTTCAGCTTCTAGGAAATAGAAGAATTGAAAAAAGTTAAGTTAAAAAATGTACTTTTAGTGGCGATAGATCACAGTATGCAAGAGTATCAGCCACGTCCGAATAGCTAGTCCCAGGCCAAAGAAAATATTGTAATGTAACCACACACGTTGGACGTCAATTTCTGTAATGCAACCTCTGAGTTACACTATCATAATGGGGGAATTGCCATCTCACGTAAGGTGCGACGGTTGCTTTCAGACATCAGGGTGCACGCAACTGAATTTATTTAAAGGGCACCAAGCGCATGCCTTACCTGTCACCGGCGTCGAGCATCTCAGGGGTAAGCGCCCTGGGATGAAGGATTGCATTTGGCTTACGGACTACTAATAATACACATTTCTATGTGTTACCACCCGACAAAATGGCGGGGGCACGTTTATTATCATGGTAAACTGTCTCTCTCACATACAGTTATTTGTTGTACTTTACTCTTGCTAATAATTAGTATGGGCGTGAATTCACTTTCTGGATGGTGATGATTATGATGTCGCTACTTCACCCCGAAGGGATTACACTTCCAATATCGGACGGCGGCAGCGGAGGACCAGTTGAAATACCATAAGGATCGCCTGTAGTCAGCAGGAACACGCGCGGATGTTCGACGTCAGGCTGTACGGGAGATGCCGGGCCGTCCGCAAAATGAAGAGTCGGTTTTTGATGCGCAGGTCGTCACACGTAACCTGGACCGCGTTTTGTCATTTGCAGCCGAATGGTCGTGCTGCACACCCTCGCAGGTAATTTAGGGTGTTAATCCTATTGTCCTAACCCGGCTTCCGGGATAAATTCCGATGCTGAAATGAGGGCTGGTAAGATCGTGGATAACAGCATCGATCGTTGGGTGGCTGTTTTCGCCGTTAAATCAAGAACTGTCTCTCTAAAAGCCGACCGATCGCTGTCAAGTTCTTTTTCCAAGAATCATTTCTATCGCCCTCAGTTCACCCGATTCCCGTGCCCACCCCTTTCGCAAAATGCGAGCTCTGTCACATGCGTAGCCCGAAGCTCTCCGTAGACTCGTTAAAAAGTTTCTAGAACATTCTATCGCCCGATCCCTGTGATTGGGTTAAGGGAACTGCGCATTTAGTGCCTAAGTGACCCGACACACGTCTGCGATCCTCCTACGGAGCCTCGTGGTTTATTGCCCCTTAGGGATTAGCTAGCAAGCTGCCCCCGAGTATCTTAATATGACTGTTCCGGGAGTTCATCACCTGCTGCCACACAAAGGATCGAAGGGGCGCTTTTTCGGAGGCCGGGGAATCCTCGGGTGGCGGCGCGTGGCGCATCTGCGCATGGCGAATTGTGCCAAAGGTGCCCTTCGCCTCGAGATATTTTAATAGAGCGTGACATAGGGGACGCGCTGTGCAATGGCTCTTTACAACTCATTGCAATAGAAAACTAATACGAGAAAGCCTGTGCCATTCTGTTGCACTAGTACAATTTGTTTGTTGGTATGATTCATGATTATATCAATAATTTCTGATGTAATAAACAATGAAAATAACTGCAACTCTTTCCCGATTCCTCGTGCTTCACCTTTAGACACACGCAAAAGAATGTCAGTGCTTGCTGCGCCCGCCTTCGAAAATTTACTTATCAAATATTGGTTTGTCGAGATAGTTTCATTATCCCTGTCCAGCCGAGCATGTGCCCTAGTATGTGGCTCGTTTCTGAATTCTATTTCCCCCGGAATGGTAAACATAATCGACGTTATCATCACAAGGTAAAATTCCATTACCTGATTCAGAGGAACTTTCGGCAGATTCTTCATCAGATTCTTCTTCACGCTGCGCCGAAATCTGCTCTGACGTCGACAACTTTCTATCCAAATCCATCTCAGAGTAGCTAGAAGAAAGAAAAAATATTTACCTAAGTTGAAAATATATAACGTAAACAGTAACGTGGGTCGTATCCGACCCTGCCAGGAGCAGGCCTAACTTTAAACAAAAACCATAAGTACGTAATACGTCCTAGTTTGGCGATGTAGTTGTAATGCTGTCCAGAAAAAGAGTGAACTAGAAAACCTCCACAGGGCACGAGACCTTGAGAGGAAAAGTGCAGAAAATTCTCGTAAAACGTTCCCACATGCCGCATCCGACCCGCACCTTGCGAGGGTTGATGAGAGGGGATCCACACTGAAATTGTCCCACACGCCGAAAATTTTCTGTATGCGCCACTAATCAGTGATCACTATATATTATTAAAGTAGATTTTACATCAATATCTGATATGTGGTCGTTTATTTTTTGTATTTTTAAATGTTATTTTATATTAAAAAGTGTGTGACGTGCTCGGGAAGAATTGTATTCAGTGCACGTTTTCTTAATTTAGGCATCTTTTCCCTGAAACATATATAAGTTGAATTCCGAATACAGAAATAAATGAGCGTTTTTGGCAAGAATTGTTAACAAAATATTCGCTCCGATATAATAAAATCAATTTTTAAGGGCAAATCAGCTATAGATTGAAATTCTTGTCCTTCATGAAGGAATATACTTCTGCCGCGACGACATGGAGAACGATAATTTAAATAACTATATTTCCCTCTGAACTCCAGAAAACGTGCACAGATAATGAAGTTACATTTGTCCAGAAGCAAAACAAGGGGCCATCTCAGCATTCGCTCAGAGGATCAGTGAAACTGGACGAAAAACCTGATCGAGGTAGAGGCCATTATCCCACAAGTGGAGGTACAACACAATGTCGTTCATAGATTATTGAAGAATAGCGGCCCAATCCAGTTTTTACGCCCCGATTCTGCCTGCAATCATATAAACACACGCCAATGCTCGTTAGGCCTGCGTCTCCAAGCTGTGAGTCGCAATATCCATTTCACTTTCTCACTACTGCTTACGCAGTATATTTATGTAATGCTGCGGGTAAAATTGGCGAATTTTCGACGGAAAAACTGTAATTGCGGAGACTTGGTAACGAAACAATTTATAAATCTCGACCCTGTATGTAGTACAGGCAAAACGTCTGTCCATGTGTGAACAAAGCTAGCTGCTGAACCCTTCAGACGATTTTCTCCAAAATATTCTCGAGTCCATCTGGCTAATGTCCGGTTCCCTTGAATTTGAAACTCATATTTTAATTTTGGGGAATACTTTACCTGAAGCACCTGGGCGATTTTCAAACAAATGTCCCCAATATTTTTGATTAGATTAAAAAAAACGCATAAGAGAATGGAGCCGTTCTCATGTTCGTTGAAATTCCTGGGTTTTCGAAAAGTGCTCATCAACAACAGATAATCAAGTAATGTTATGTTCAATTTTTCGAAAATATGAGTAATTTTTGCATAATTTGGTGTAAAACATGGGCAATTTTTAAATTTTAAAGATTCTTTTCTCAGCAAAAGCTCCAAATTTTTTCCTTATTTTTTTACGTATGTAGCAAAAACGATAAAGAAAGTGGCGCTGGTTCCATTTTCGACACCCTCTCTATATTTTCGAAAATTGAAAAAAAAAATCGAATTTCCCTTGCTTTGTTTGAGGCGGTGTCAATATATAATGCTGTCAATTCATATACCGCCTATGTGTATTCGGAAGCTGACTTGTTTGCGCACCAAGAGAGAGATAGGCCGCAAGCCGAAAGCTCCAAATAGCCGAAGGCGAAGTCGAAGTCAGAAGTCCGTAAGTCGAAGCCCCGAAGCCGAAAGCCGAAGGCGAAGGCGAAGTCGAGTCGCGAAGTCGAAGTCGAAGCCGAAGGCGAAAGCGAAGTCGAAGCCGAAGGAAAAGCCCGAAGCCCAAAGCCCCAAGCCGAAAGCCCAAGCCGAAAGCGAAGCCGAAGGCGAAGCCCGAAGGGCTGAAGTCGAAGCCGAAAATGCTTCGTAGTGGAAAGCCGAACCGTTTGGTCCGAAACGCGAAGCCGAAGCCGAGCGTAGTCTAAGCGAAGTCGGAAGCCGAAGCGAAGCGCGAAGGCCGAAGTGCGAGGCGAGTCGAACGATAGTCGAAGCCGAAGCCGAAGTCGAAGCCCGAAGCAGAAGCCGAAGCCCGAAGCAAGCCGAAGCCCCAGCCAAAGGCGACAGCCGAAGGCAAGCCGAAGTCGAAGTCGAGCCGATAGTCGTAGTCGAAAGCCGAAGCCGTTTTAACGCGAACGCAACGCGCTAGTCGAAACCGAAAGCCGAAGCCCGAAGCGAAGGCGAAGGGGGAGCCGTAGCGTAGCGAAGTCGAAGTCACGAGAGCCGAAGGTAAGGCGAAGCCGATAGTCGAAGCAGCAAGGCAAGAGCACAGCGAAGCCGTCGTCAGTAAGTCCACGAAGCGTCGATGAGTCGGCCTAGTCGAGCTACGAAGTCGAAGCTAGCGAAGCCGTATCAGTCAGCCGAGCCCAGCGACACGACAGCCCAACGCCGAGAGCTGCGGCGGGGGGTGAAAGCGAAGTAGTCGAAGTCGAAGTCGAAGTCGATAGTCGAAGTCGAAGTCGAAGTCGAAGCGAAACCGAAGCCAAGCCGCAAGCCCAAGCCCAGCCAAGCAAGCCCAGCCGAAGCCCAAGCGAAGCCCAAGCCGGCAAGCCCAAGCCGGCCGAAGCGTAAGCCGAAGTCATCGAAGTCGAAGTACGAAGCTCGAAGTCGAAGCCGGTCGACGAGTCGAAGCAAAAGCAACACAGCAGACGGAGCAAGAAGGATCGATCGAGTCGAAGCCCAGGAGTCGAAGCGGGAGCGAGGGCAAGCAGGAGAGTCGAAGCGACGAAGCGATGAGCGACTGAAGTCCGAAGCGAACCGAAGGCGAAGGAGCAGCGAAGTCGAGCCGGGGCGACCGGTCAAGTCGAAAGACTCGAAGCCCAGACAGCGACAGCAAAGGCAGCGAAGTCAAAGCCAAGTCAGTCGAAGCAACTAGCAAGCCGAAGCGGACCAACGAAGCCTAGTCGCCGAGCAAGCGAACAAAGGCGAAGGCGAGCCGTAGGTAGCGAAGTCGAATGCCGAATGCTCGTAGTCACAGCGAAGTCAGCGAAGCCAAAGCTTGACAAGCGTCGAACCGAAGCCGTATAGTCGTCGAAGCGCGAATCAAGCTACTAGCCCAAGAACGGAAGCGCGAGGAAGTCGCAGCGAAGCCAAGCGAAGGCCGCCGACCCAAAAGCAGCAAGCAAGCGACGATCGAGCGAACGAAGGCGAATCAGCGAGTAGTCGAAGTCGAAGGCACGAAGTCGAAGTCGAAGTCCGAGTGCGAAGCCGAAGCCGATCGAAGCGAGCCGCAGGCGAGCCGAAGCCGCTAGGAGCTCGAAGACGAAGCCAGCCGAAGCGGTCCGAAGCGAAGTCGAAGCGAAGCCAAAGCCGAAGCCAGCCGAAGCCGAAGCAGCCGAAGCCCAAGCCGAAGGGTGGCCAACCAGTCGAAGCAAATCGAAGTGAGTCGAGTCGAAGTCGAAGCAACGATGTCGAAGTCGAAGCCGAAGTCGAGTCGAAGTCGAAGCCAAGACGAAGCCCAGTCGAGCCGAGCGAAGGCGAAGCGCGCAAGGCAAAGGCGAGAGAGCGAAGGCGAAGCGAAGTGAGTCGAAGCCCCAAGCCGAAGGCGAGCAAGGCGAAGGCGCACGAAGGTCGAAGTCGAAGTCGAGTCGAGAGTCGAAGTCGATCAGTCGAAGTCGTAGTCGAAGCTCGTACGCGAAGCCGAATGAGTCAACGAAGCCAAGTCGAAGTCGAACAGGTCGACCAGGCGAGCCGAGTCGAAGTCGAAGTGTAGTGGAACAAGCACCGGTAGCGTAGTCGAAGTCGAGTCGAGTCGATGAGTCGAAGTCGGAGTGTCGAGTCGTCAGTCTCGATAGTCGAAGTCGAACGTCGAAGTCGGCCGTGCTACACCGCTTGCCTCTCCCGCCGGCCGCCCCCACCGTGCCCGCCGCCTCCTTGCCCGTATTTCCGGTGTGCCGGACGCAACCCTCTCCAGCAGCCGTCCCCGATTCGCTTAACCCCTACCGTGCCCCGGACCGTCGCCGCCTTTGCGCTTTCTTTCCTAGAAACATAAACATTTGGGTTTTTTTATTGCGGAGGGCGTTTATGATGTGCTACGGTGCTCAGGGCCATCATCCATGTCATGCAGGGCCCTGGCCGGAATCGTAGGGTTCGAGTCCGTCCGGTGAGCAAGGATTTTCGGCACTAGCGTTGGTCGCAATTCAGACGCTGTCTGAACGGAGAATTGTAGCGGCCGGCTGCTCTGGGTCCAGTTAGTTTTCTGATGATTCTCCCATCATCACAAGGCGAATGACGGAGCGGAACCCAAAACGCGACACGGACAACGCGGCCGAATCTTCGTTCTCTTCTTGTCCTATGCTCTATTCCTTACATACACTAGCACTACCACACTTGTCGGTAGCCAGTCTTGAGCGTTCGGAGCTTGTTCCGGCTAAGGCGTGTCCCGCAGATGGAGGGGCCTGGTTGGAGAAACCCCTCGCAAGCACACGTGTAGGTCGGCGCCGGATTCTCGCCATCCAGCAGGAGATTACGCCACCTCCCGGCTATAAAAAGAAATACTGTGCAATTACGGAACTAATGACCTTAGCAGTTGACGCACGCGAGTTCAATTATGATGTGAAACGACCGCCCTCTCGTAACCAATTGATAGTCGCTTAATTTTCTTCCGATGATTAAAACAGATCTTGAATAGCTGATACTCAAACTTACGAGACTAAATGCATGTTCAAACAACCGTAAACACGGATGTAGACGTCTAACTCGCACTCCCTTTTTCAAATCTGTACACCGAGGTCCATTGCTGACTAGACGAACACGCATTCCGATCCGTCAATATCGAAAATATGCTTCATGTGAAGAACCTTCAACGAGTTTGTGACGCCGCTTGACGGTATTCCGAAGTGAAATATAGCTTCTTCATTTATATTTCTTGCCTTGCCTACTTTTTACGCTGTTAAAGAAAATTGTAATTTGCGGCCAAAGTCGGCGGTTTTCATACAGGAAAAGGCAAGTTTATGGGCCTTAATACGAAAAAACTGATAAATCTTTTCCTATAATATGTTAATAAATCTACTTTAATCACTTTGTTTAGGTAAAATCAAGATTTTCAGTAGTAAGTACTTACTTACAGTATTCATTAAACTAGGGCGGTAAATAATTAGCGTACATTGCCATCTCTTCTTTTCAAAATACTTTTTGAACTTCCTAGAAGCACAACCTGAAATAATACTTCCTTCCTTGAAGTACAACTGAATCTCTTCCCTTTTGGTTTCATATGTTTGGTGAAGCACTGGTTAGGTGCTACATGAGCGTATGATCTCCTCGCGCTTATTTGTTTTATAAACTAATGCAACCCAACGGAATTCGTTATGATAAATTTAAAATTGTTGACGCGCGTATATGCGATAGTCCATTGTTACAAAAACGGGTCATTGTGGGCGTCCCGTTTCTTTAAAAAGTAACGAGACAGAAATTTGAAAACAAGGGGCTGTACGCGGCTAATATGGGACGTATGTGACACCTTAAAGTAATGCGAGAAAGTGTGCACTGTTTGTAAGGTGTCACTAGTTTTTCTTTGACACACTAAACATACTCCTAAGCGACATTTCTTTGCTCTGTATTCGCCCAGAGCTTGTGAGACCAGGCAGGTGAAAAAAAAACTATCGTAATCTTATCCTTAACAGAAAAAATAAATAAATAAACGCCAGGCGCAGGCAAGAAGGTTTCATTGTGCTCCAGACTGCAGTGTGACATTGTGGGTGATGTGCGTTTATGAAACAAAGTGAGACACGGGAACCGAAGCAACAAGTAACCATTAAGAACTTTTAAAAGGTAACGCTCCTTGATCAATTTTTTCTTGTAGATGCAATATAGAGAAAGTTAGGTAACGTTGCCATGAAACTTGTTCAATTAATTTTTCTTTTACATTTTGGTTATCAAATGTTTTTTGCATGATCTTTCCGAAGTTTCCATTTCCGCTTCAAACTATTAAGGATTCGAAATATTTAGAAAACTTTAAAAAAATTTTTTTGATCAATCGCGGTATATAAATATCATTCTAATAACGTAATTTAAAACTATCGAGTCAAGTGTCTATGTCATTTTTTAACTCATTCTTATTCAGCATATGTTCGACTGTACAAGTAGCAAAAGTATTAAGTTAAAGGAGATACGATGAAGATGACTACAAATTCTGTTGAAAGACATAATTTTTCCGTTTTTTAAAACCCATGTCCACAATTTTCTCCAAAAACTGAAATAAGGTTCCTTCAAATACAGTCCCAAGATGTTTCTATGGAAAATTTCAAATGAAAATATGTTTTCACTTGTTAATATTTCGTAGTCTCATTTCCCATTAAACAACTGGTGTACAAAAATTAATAAACAATAAAATACACAACCTGGTCGTTCATTTTAGTCTTTCTAGGAGAGTGCCAAAGTTTGAAACAAAAGTAATAGTAAAATAAGAATGGTGAAAATATGTATTAAGGTTTTTAAAGAAGCACGATATCCAATACACCATATGTCAATTACGCGGGACAAAAATTATTCTGCTATATTCTAATGATGAAGTCTCACAATGGTGATTTCTCTCCATAAGAGTACGCAGGAAAGATGGTAAAAGTTCTCTAAAACGCAATGACAAATGAGTGGTTGAATATAGACTAAGTATAAAAATGAAATTTTTTGCATGGTTTCAATAGCTCTAAACTAATAAAGAGATAAATGTAAAATCGTACACTAAAAAGATAGATACATAGCACCATATCTCAAAATGTAATGCAAAATATTTTATTTTCCATACTTTTTAATATTTATCTTGTTGAGATCGTACCACTTCTAACAGCCAAAAACGTTTGTTTTATTTTTTAATTTTTCTTCAACTCACTTATTTTATTCTGATCTATCTGGCACGAAAAAAATCCCAAAATTTCCCCACAAAACACGCAAAATTTGATTTTTTTAGATGTGTTTTCAATTCTGGTCTGTGGTTTAAAACAATAAAAAACAATTTTTTATCCTTTTCCCCTACAATAATTAGGTCGACCTTGAAACAGTAATTTTGCCTAGTCCTTGTTACCGTCCTTCGATTACCCTCCACCCTTTTTCTTACACTTTCCAATATACATGCCAGCGTTGCTAACTAAAGATTATGCGTTCCTGGTCTCTTTTCTAAAGCGCGCTAGGGTGTCTGGGGACTTTATGTGGGCCGATATTGAGCAGTTTTTAATATATCTGAGTGTTAGTTCATCCCTCTTAGGCTTTTTTAAGAACAGGCAAATACAACATGCCAACTAAAATTTGCATACTCTCTCCTCACGAGATAGTTGCTTTCGATAAGCGCGAGAAGCCCTAAAACATTAGGCATTTTACTAATTTAGCTGCGATGACATTTACTATGTGGCCGCGGAAACGAAGGCATATGTAGGAAGCGAAGATTTGCGGTTTAACAGTCTGCTAGCGGTCCTGGTTTATTGTGTCTTCACCGTCCTTTCACGCCCTTGTAATCAACTTGTAGACACAGAACAATAAACAAGCAGTACATAGCAAAGTGTCGCTAAGACGCTGTATTTTGCGACTTAAGAATAGATTCGAGCGAGAAAGAAAATAAACATTTACAAATTCAAAACTGCGGTGATTTCTTAAAGATAAAAACATAAATCAATTATTTTATAGAATCAGTATGGTAATATTTGCCCGCTAGTAACAGAAGCTTTTACGTGCAACAACATCTCGGACCATGTGCTTCAACTCGAAGTTAAACATTACGTTTTAACAAATCAACAAGTAAATTTCTCTGA